TTATGTAAGTTTTTTTTTGTTATTACTAACCTACCTACCTATTTTCATTAAATGCGAACTAAAATAATGTAACAAATTTAATTACATTATTATATTTTGTAAAAGAACATTTTGAGTATTTTAATTTTACACAATTTCAAATTTTTATTTAATAAAATTACTTCGTCGTTTCATTTAGGCACTGCAACAAAGTTTCAGATATTTTTTTGATATCTTAAGAGTATGAAATTTAAAACTTTTTAAATGGTATACTAATTTATTGTTTCTTGTTTCTATAAAAATACACATTTTCATTTCTTTTCATTTAATTCAATAAAACAAAAAAAAATTTAAAAATGTCTTTCAAATTATTATTTTGAGTGTRAAAACCATTTCTGTTATTATTATTAAAATTGATAATCAAATTAGTAACAATAAATAAAAATACATCAACATTGTATTATATTATCGGGGTGAAACGGAAATTAATTACATTCGAAAATATTCTTATGTAAATTAAAATTATGTTTATCATTTATTAATGAAGATATCTCTCTTGTTTAGTTATATAAAATATATCGATTTGTAAGTAATTAATATAATAACTTTTAGTTTACATTTTGATTTTTGATTTTAGGTAAAGAGAAGTATAATGCTTAAAATGGCTGATGCATGTCAAGACGACGTAGCAAATAAACAAACAAGATTTCACGAGATGTATGTGCAACGCCATAATAATGTTAGGTAAGATCCACTTCTGAAGTATAATATTTTTGTGTATAGACAACTTAAAAAATTTAAAATAAAAGAGTTTTCTTTAATTACGTATAATATTATTTCACAATTTATAGCAAAAATTGACCAATATGATACTCAAATACTCAACTYAAAAACTATAATTCAAAAGTATCTTTAGTGAAAAAAATTCAACCTATGAAAAAATAAATTATTAATATCAATATTCATTTATTCATTTTAAACAAATATAGATATACTCTATAAATTATAATATTATAAAGGTATACATAAAAATATACGCTTCGAGTGATTAGTGATGTGTATTATGTCAGGTAAATAGGTSTAAACTCGTTGAAAAAAATTAAGTTATTTTTCCATTCTAAAATCCAATTACTAAAATTATAAAATAGCATTTTATTATGATCAATAATTGCTYGCATATCTACAACAAATAATTTATTATAAACTATAATTAATAATTATAAAGTATTGTTAACTAAAGATTATTGAGCATATAAAATATAAGTATAAATGTAACTTTATTGAATTTGTGCATATTAAATAATTTTATACCTCAGTATAATTATAATTATAAACTCTACTTACTAATTTAATTAGAAGCTCACACAATTTTTAACATTTTTATGATAATTAA